TCTTTCAAGTAGTTAAAGTTGCATGCTATTATTATTGTTCTTTAAAAGTATTTCAAAACATCAAAAAAAAACAATATGATTCCAAAATAAGTATTGAAAGTGTAATATAAGATAACTAAGAAAACATTATAAAGAATGTGCTGCTTGTTATAGCATTAATCAAATTGCCTACATATGAAAATAAACATTGTATTTACAATTGTAACTTGGTTCATCTTTTGTTTTGTTCCATTTTTCCTGTAATTTATTAATCAAAAGAATGGTTTAAATACTGGCTAATATGATCATTAAATATATGAACAGAAGGAAATCTCAATTTTAAAATCTGCAGAAATCCGAAAATTAACAAATTTAAGCAAAATTTAAAAAGGCTGGACAATTCTATCACCTGTTAAAGTGTGTATAAATGTTCAAAATATCAAGACATTGCATTAAAGTAAACTATGGTGTTTACTATGATATTAACTTAAATGCAAAAGTAAACAATGACCTTGAGATTAACATTAACTATGCCAAAATCTTCACACAAAAAAAAATTCATATTATTATTCCTTAAAACATTAAAATATCTGCGGAAATTCCATGTATCTTCTCCAGTTACTCGATCTTAGCATAATGTCAGAATTCCTCTCACCAACTTATATTTTGAAACCTTGTTTCATTTGTTTTTTTTCAATAAATGAATGCTTAACATCACTGCCAATTTAATAAGTGATATTACATGCATGTAATATCACATATAAAAATTTGTATGATTTAAAAAGAATAATTTCTGATGTCAAACAAGATCTTTAAGTCCCATTTAGCCAACTGTCACCCTTTCTTAGACCCCCTCCGCTCCTCCAGAGCATGATATGAATGGCCCACTTAGGTATAGTTGCCCTAAACTTAACTTCACTTAATTAACCACACAATATGCTGAGTTAACTTTTCGAAAGGAAACTTTTGAGTGGGAACAATTCAAAATTTTAAAAAATTGTGAGAACTGAGACATTGTATCAAAGAGTTTGAAAAATTGTTGTAATCTACCATAGAACATACTAGGGCATTAAATTAAAACATACTAGAGCTCTAAACTAAAACATTCTAGGGGTATAACAGAAGATACCATGGCCCTAAATTAAAGCATGCTAGGGGTTTAGAAGAACATACTAGGGCACTAAATTAAAACATACTAGGGGTATAACAGAACATACTAGGGCACTTAATTAAAACACACTAGGGGTATAAAAGAACACAATAGGGCACTAAATAAAAACATACTAGGGGTTTACCAGAACATACTAGGGCACTTATACTTATAACAGAAAATACTAGGGCACTAAATTAAAACATACTACGGAAGAACAAAAAAACAACATATTAGAGCACTAAATTGAAATATTCTAGGGTTACATCAAATGAATATAGAGATAAATAGATATTTAAAAGAACATAAGAGAGCATTTTAATAGAACAATCAAGGGCACTGTAACAGTATAAACTGGAGCAATCTAAAGGAATATGATATGATATAACATTATAGTACAATGTGCCAATGCTCGGGAACCTTAATTGAAATATTTTGTCAGGTAATAAATGGACACAATTCTTTAGGCTGATTCTTATTATTTGGATATGTTCTTACCTAGCTACGGATTAAATATAGGTAATTGTTCTCACCTCAAATTACACCATCATTAAATTACATATTTAGTTTTGTTTTAAACAAGAATACATGAATAGGCTGCTATTATTATCCGAGCTTTATATTTCATGCTTGAAATCATGAAATTTAATTAAATTTCAATTAGACACTGTAATTATAAAATCAGTGAAACAAAGTGAAAAAATTCAATTAAGAAACATTATTATTTTACATTATGTACACATTTCAAGTTTTCAATTTGAGTCATTAAAAAACAAAGTTCACATATTAAAAAATATATAAAGTGTTGTTTTTTTTTATATACATTGCAACAAGAGGTTAGGAGTTATAGCAATGAAAAGAATGCATGTAATATCACTCACAATTAAACGTGCCTAGAACATCAAGTCAAGATAATGACAGCCAATAACAACAGGGACAGCCAACACATAGATAAAAGGGCGGTAACTTCTCATGTACTCAAACTATTGACACATTTTTTAGTAGCTGAAGATTAGAGAGAGTTATATGAGTTAATTTATTTCCTTTTAATCAAACCTTGATTTCATTTAATTAAATGGTCTTAACCAGGAGTGACTGTACACTGGTTATATGTATGATATGGTTGAGAATAATAAAGCCGGGGCCTTGAACAAAGTTTGAGATTAAAAGGAGTACAAAAAAAAATAAAAAAAAAAAAACAAAAAAAAAACCCCATGATTTATATTTATTTTCAATTCAATTTTACCTATTAAAAAAAAAACAAAAAAACATGCTTAAATATTAGTATGACTTATCAAGGATATAAATTTGGCGGTTGGTTTGATTTCGTTTACAAAATTACTTCATTAGACTTATTAAGTAAATCTCGAAAATAAAATACCATTTTAATTTCTGTCACTGTAATTTTTATTTGATATGCTATAATTTCTTAATTCCATTCATTTATGAAAGCCCAAATATATATTTTTAAAAATTATAATATCACTAGTCTAGCTCTCTGCAGCTACCAGTCACTAGACTAGCTCTCTGCAGCTACCAGTAGAATCAAAATTAATATTTTGCTTTAAAAAAAGATTAACAAGAAGGACAATCCAAAATTTAACATAAAATGTCTTAACATTAGCAATTTTTGAGATTGCTTCCCCTTACATACTAAAAATATTTTTTTTTTAAATTTACGTTCTTTAAAGTAATGATTAATTCCTACATATTTTACATACATTTTTGCATGAATAAAATTTATAAATAACAACAAAATAATATTTATAATAATAACAATAAACCAATCAAATGAAACAATAAAATTATAATCAGTAGAATTCGTTGTAAGAAATTGACAGGCTTGTGTTAAGACAAAAAATATAGTCTTTTTAATTTAAAGTCAACCATCAATGATTGAGGATTCATATTAATATTGGATTAACAGCAATTAAATTCATAATCTAAGGCTCAAGGCAGTGATTAATTTATTAGCTCAGATTAAATTTGGACCAGGCTAATTAGGTAATATGTAATCTTGTTACGTAAATGACTTGAAGTGGGTTGGAGAGAGAGAGAGAGAGAGAGAGAGAGAGAGAGAGTGAGAGAGGTGTGCTCCAATGTGCGATGTGACAAGAGGAGGCTGTGCGGTCAGATTTGGAGGCGGTGGTTTATATAAATAACTAATATGTGATGCTCGTTTGTAGAGTTGTTTTGTTTTCATAGTGGTTCACATGAGCTGTGATATCGGATGGGGGAGGGAGGGGTGGTCTCTACGAAATGTTGGCAGTTTAGGTGTGGACCATAGCAGGATATATTTTACAAAGGCTTTTGTGGGCTTATGTGGTTTATAGATTTATGATCTAAATTTGATACGGGGATGGGTAGTGGGGTCTATGTATGATGTCTGCACGGAACTGTTATAAGGATTCTGGGTAAACATTTTTTTTTTTTTACAAAATAGGAAGGATCATTTATTGTAATTTTTAACTGCAATATTTATTATAATTCTTATCATAGCGTTGAACGGTTCTCAACATTTTACACATTGGTTTTTTTTAAATTATTAAAATGATCAAAGTAACGAAACGATTTTGATTACTTCTTGAGATACAAGGTATGTCAAAAACTGCAAATTTGTAAAGCATTATATCAACCTATGTCAGTCAGTCAGTAAATAGCGATGTCAGACTAAGTCTCACACATTTGAATGTTAAACTAAAGAAGACCTTGACCCCACTTGAATATCCTCATTTACCCTTGACTTTCTGACCCACTGCAAGTTCTGAAGTCTGTTCTCCCACGGCTTCTTGAACACGCTGGTCTGCCGTTTGCTGCTGCTGGACTGCTCTGGCGCACTGGCCTGTCTGTCCAGCACCGAGCCTATGACCACCTTGCGGTAGGGGCTAGAGCACGGGGAGAGTGTGTCACTGTCATGGCCTGAGTCCGTGTGGTTGAGTTGCGGGTTGGCTGATTGGCGTTTACCAACGTTGGGGTTCTTCACATAATGTTTGTTGCTCTTGGGGTCAGCCGGGAGAAGTTTGTGGCGGACTGCCGGTTTCGGGGCTTCCCCTTCGTCGGTCTCAGTGGAAGAGAATACAAGTGGTTTCGATGTTCTATCACGCATGCGCAAACGCCGTCTCTTTGCCAGTATCATGGACCTTAGAGAATAGCGAGGAAACACATTTTTATAATGCAAACAATTAAAATATCTTTAACCCACCATATTATTTACGGATTGAAAGTCTTTGATGCAGGGAGGACACATTTCTTTTCAACAGTGATTGTAAGCTACAGAATAAATAAATGTATTTAGTGACACTAGTATGCTGATAGGAAATAAAGACAGTTGAGATGATATTTAAACATTATTTTGTTACAATTGGTATTAACTTTTTAAAAAATTTTACTGTAGAAATAATGTGTACCAGTTTATCTAAGACGAATAATTTGTTTTGACCCACTAAGAAAATTTACATCAAATTTTATAAGTTAGAATTTTAAACAAATTATTTTGATAGACTAGGATTTTGTAATGAACAAATTTCAATCATCTTTATCGGTGTTTTCATGAAACTGGCCAAAATTGACGTCTTTCTGAGGATAAGGGATAGTGGGGGAGTGTTCCAAATGCCAGACTCACCTGTCAACAATGCTTCCACTTCTAATGATGTCATCGGCAGACTTCCATTTCTTTAAGGATTTCGTCTTCACCTTGCGCAGGTCTTCCTCGTCGTCGTCATTGCACCCGCTGAGTTCATCGTCGGCAACACAAGTCTCATCGTCTGCCGTCGCCGGGAACGGCCTGACCATCCAGTTGCTGTAATCGTGTTCTTTGTGATCCAGCGTGTCCAGGTCGCACGTGGATGACGATAGGCCCGTGAAAAACGGCCGTGGCGAGGACGGCGAGAAGTAACCGATGGAGAGACAGTCTGGGGCGTCCTTCCTGCGCCGTGATTGCGGGGAGTTCCTGAGCTGGAGAGTTTGCAGTGGGGAAACC